GGCCTGTCTGCCTAAACACCGCCAACTCGGCCTACAGGTGCGGAGACGCAAACCACCCGAGCTGTCTCTCTCTAGGCACCTCCTCCGGGAACTAATTGCAGCACGAATAGGTCACGGCAATTTTGCGGCATACCATCGCCGTTTTAATAATCCATACGCTCCTATGGAGTGCTCTTGCGGGAAGGAAACTTCTCCAACACACTTCATCCACTGTAGTCACCACGCACAACAAACGCTTAGACTCAGAAAGTCAATATCCCACGTTGACTTTATCAAAAAGCTTCTCGGGCCCAAGTGCCATGAAAGCTTCAAAAATTTTGCGCAGGAAACCGGCTATTTTGAAAGATGACCTGCTCACTCATCCACTGCTCTCAGCGGGGATCAGATAAACTAGTCATTGCCACAACGCATGACACGAAAGGGATCGAGGCGAGAAGTGTCGATTCTCTGAGGAAAGATTGCAGCAATTTAGAGTTAGGGGAAATAGTAGTGATTATTGATATAGTGTGACGGAAACCGAGTTGGTGATGAATAAATTGATTTATTAAACTATATGAAGAGAAAAGAAATCTCTAGCTACTACTAACAGGTACTTATAACGTTTGTTCCGCTTCGTGAATCTGCTGACTGTCAACTTCTCCATAGGCCTAATACTTGCTACTGAGCCAAGTATTATCAGGAGCCATTACGCTATGATGTTGCTTCGACCTCCTGGCTAGTAGTGCCGTTTCATCTCTATTTGCCCTTCCTTCCTCTTTCAGTCTTATCGTAATTATTCCTGATTAAACGCTTAGGTTTCCTCCTAAGCTAAAACATCGGTCAAACCGTAACATCTAGGAGTTGGAGTAGGGTGTGTCTGCATCGTAATTTACTTCCCACTATTTCTGTAGCGAGTCCAGCGGTTGGAATGAGTTGGGCCTGTTAGCAGTGATCCCCGCCAGCTCCACCAGTCTTGTACCTATAGTGGACCTACAGTTTTAGCTTAGGACTTTAATATATTTTAAAAAAAACAAGCACAACTTGATCATTGAAACACTATGCTCAATGGGTAGGACGAAGACTGAACACCCATCAGTTTCAGACTGTACAAATTTCACGGAATAATAACAGGGGTTAGAATGATAGTTTACTATTAGCATACAAATCTAGCAGACCTCAGTAGGGAAAGGTAACGTAACAGTGAACTACGAGCATGTACATAATGAAGCGTAGCCTCCACTCGAGTTACCTTTTTCACGCAACGTCTTCTCAATATTATTCTCAATCTAGATATTCTATCTCTTCCCTGTGAAGACCACTTCGAGCCCGTACTCGTATCAGATCACGACGTGCCCTCTATCTCTTCTTGTGGAAGACCTTGACTCCCTATTTACTCACACTTGTACCCTGTGGACAATTCGCATACACACTCCTCGAAAACAAACCTGGGGTTTGAAATATTTTCCTAATCCCGGGATTCAGTCACGGTAGAGAGTAAATTTGAGATATTTTGCAATTTTCGATCAGGAAGAATGATTTTGACAAGTTTTTGGTCGAAAATCCGACTGGCAGAAATCTCAGGTCTGCACAGCTCAATAATATCAATTATCCACACCCCTTTTACGTACCATAGATAGGCTCAAACCTGTCTGATATTTGTAAAACAACAATTTCCAACCTTCAGCATCTCGAATTTTCATGGATGATGTTTACCAGCTAAATACAAATCGTGACCGTCTCCTAAATTATCTCACCATCTACTAATTCACTTACAATTTCAAGAGTCATACTCGTTATCTAAGATACAAATGGGTCTTCATCCCCTTGATATCGTCGTGCGCTTTGAAGGTACGGTCGAATAAACAGTCTCATATTCGTCTAAATATGGGCCAGGGGCACCAAAAGCTCAGCCTGCGACGAATCAACACCGACAAAATACATGCAATATTTCGCCGGCACATCAACTTTGGCATTCGACTAAAGTTGGGGTATTGATACCTCGGTCTTGAGCTCTTCGACCCATATTCGGCTTCTCTGATAAGGGTTACGGCAGCGGCGGGGCAAGGCCGGAGGGATGGAGATTGTACCAAATTTTTGTTGGAAATTCAGACTCTATGTGTCTGAAGTTTCCCATGATTGGAACAACTAAGATTCTCACACATGACTCACGACCTAGATGATTGATATCTCCCTTACTGAGCATGTTTGATGCTTGAGACTCGACTAGTGCATGGTATGGCCTGATACACGTGTAGGCTTTCATCCACCGACCCTGACCCCATACTCATATTGTCTACTGTCGTGCGTTTCATTGTCATTGTTAGAGTATGGAACGAGTGATGGATGGTATCTAGTCTGGATTTGGTCTATCAAGATTACATGTATATAAGCTGTCTAAGAATCACTAAGACAAATAATCTAATCAATTCAATTTATTCAAACCATCTTTTATTTCTCCACAGTTTATCACATATTCTCCCGATTCATATCATTATTATTCTATTCATAAAATCGCGCCCATATTCTTTGAGCCGCTTTACTCATCGAACCCATACTGGTTTTCCAACAATTTTTACGATAGCGAATGAATGAATGAAAGTTTATTCCTGATGGGCACAAGCCCTGCACTCAAAGAGCATGACACGAAGACTAGCTTCTCCGACGACTATATACGACGATAACTCAGTTTGACATTTGGACTACTCATGTAGTGGGTGCATTCGCTGATACCACTCGAGACCTTGGTACTAGGGACTTTCACCCTTCCCTCAACCGTTAATATCCACCAAAGGGAAAACAGGGAAACCCTTTGGCTATCCTAATATGCCTTTGTCATATTGTATGTAGCCGCCGCGCGAGATATGGCCTCATAGTCCTCAATTTCTCGAGTGAGGTAAGTGTCCAGGCTACCCAGACTTTAATTCGAGGAGATGACGACAAGGAGGCGGACCAAAACACCTTCCATCGTTGCCTGTTTTTAGAGTGTCGGTTGCACTATCTGAAATCGTTGCCTCTGCAACCACAGACAATCTTAAGTCGGAGACACTCGAAAAATGTGCGTCCCAACATGCACATCTGTGACCTCTTCACTCGTTCGTCCCACGTCACAGCTGCCTGTCCTCCCTCAAGATTTGAAGCCCCATTAGAGCAACGGTCTCCCATAGACCAAGACCCGAGCTTTGTAGATTATGACTTGAATTCCTCCTCGCGGGTATACATAGCATCGTAAGTGTGTAGTGGGAGATGGCCAGTTTTTGATGAGACAAATGCCCGATTGCAATTGGAGTAACGCCATTATCGGTATTCGAGGCAAGGTGGTGTGGTAAGATTGAGGTGGAGGACTCGCGAGAGAATGATAGATCCGACATTGACGAGAAGTCGTCGATTTTAGATGTGCTTGTAAGTGCTTCCGACTTTGATTTGGATGCGATTCTTCTTGGCTTTCCCAGATATGCATAGCATACTGAACGATTACACCGGCACCACTAGAAGGTGAAGAATTCGTCTTTGCCGGCTTTACAATAGCGAAGTTGATATAAGGGTTAGAGACAGTAACAACAGATGTAATAATAGTGGACCAAAATGGAAGCCAAATTGACGAGGCCTCGCTGGGTGACTGGAAGAGATGAGGAGATGCAGGAAAGATTCAAAGCTGTGACGGCTGTCAAGCCTGAGGGTTACAGGAGTATCAAGGATCTTCTAGGCGACTATCGGAGAGTCTGAGTTGTCAAATCATAGAGAGAACCTTATTGAGGAGGGATATTTCAGTCTGTATATATGGGTAGTGATTAAGTACATGAATTCTCTCTTCAGAGAATTATAATTAAAATATTGTAGCTACAAGATCGCCCATGCATTTTGTAATGAATCCGTAACAAAAGTCGGGACTTAATAGAAGGGAATAGTTGGAGATTGGGATGGTGCTAAGGGCTCAGGCATGTAGTGTCTAAGTCTGGGCAGGTCTTTGTGCTTCGGAGTGTCAAAATTGGGTTCTCTGGACGGTTAAGCCTGACATGATTAATACATGGGTGAAGTCTGAGTTGGTCCGGTCATCCAGGTGGGACGAGATTTATGTATTTGTATAGTGGTTAACCTGATCCAGCCCTGCCTCACTCGTGCTTAAGCTCTCATGGGAGTGCGGAGAGTCCCAATTGCCTAGCACGTTGATACACTAAACCAAACCATAGTTGCAGGAATGGAGAAATTTCATGCAGTAAGCGAGCTCTTAGCTATACATAGAAAATATCTTGCATTTTTTCATTTTAGTGTCCTATCTGAGCCTGTGACTATGTGGGACATGTTGGTCCTCTCTGCATATAGGCCAAGCAAATATCTTGTAGTAGTAGTAATAGTGATTCTCGACCTGGGTGGCTTGGCAGCACCAAACGACCTGTAAACAGCTTCCTTAGGGGCATCAGGTCGTAGTAAGCCCGAATGTAGTAATACAGCGTGAAGTAGAGATGTAAATAGATCCAGACCGTCCAATGCATCCACCTCGCCCTATTCTCTAGACTACACCGAGAAAAAATTGAACAAAAGCGCGCCGACAGGGAGACCACTTCAGACTCCTTCGACCAAAGCCAGAATTCTCCCAGTATAACCCTCCGGCCTTACCAATTCAATGGAGTTACAAACAGCCAAATGGTCTCATTTTCCAGGCTGGCAAATATCTATGATGCTGTTCTGATCACAAAACTCTTTAATTTCAATTAGTAGACTGATATCGTGATTTAATATATCACGTTTTAAAATAGTTTGCAATGTATATAGCAGGGGACGGCTTTCACGTGCTCACGTGATAATATGAGACATTATTGGTGGAAGCCCGTCATGTGGCAGGGTGTTTATGGGGCAAATTTATTTGTTGAGCTCAACAAAATTTCTATCAGGTATAAAGTAATTATTATTGTTCTGTGAGCCCTCACGGCAAATATTATCACTTAGCTTGAAGCATTATCTTTTCTTGGCACGTAGCATAAAAAATATTATCTGGTCTGTTGTAATAAAAGATATTGAATGCAATGAAAATGGAATCATCGAAGACACAAAATGTACGAGATCAAAATCAAGAAGCGCCACCAGCTTATGATATAAACCATGGAGGACATTACGGTATGTAATGACTCCAGTACTGACTATCGGTTATGTGGTTTCTCTTCCAATATGGCTCTAAATTATCACAGGTGCAAGCGCAGCGGTATGTACGTATAACAATGATATAGCGTAATCCTAACAACAAAAGCTTTCTGTCCAGGGTTATGCACCTGTTGCCGAATTCTACACAGGAACCTGGGCTAATGTAAATGACTTCTTTATTCTGTTAATGTTACTAAAATCTTAAGGTCAACCAAGGCTTGCACGGTAATTACAAAGATATCCTTACAACTTACTGGCAACATACAATCAATCATCTGGAAACCGAATCGCATGATTATAAACTTCACCAACTTCCACTCGCACGTATCAAGAAAGTGATGAAGGCTGATCCTGACGTCAAAATGATCAGCGCTGAAGCCCCGATTCTCTTCGCAAAGGGATGTGACATCTTTATTACTGAATTGACAATGAGAGCCTGGATTCACGCGGAAGAAAATAAACGAAGAACACTCCAGCGTTCAGATATAGCCTCCGCACTGAATAAGTCAGACATGTTTGACTTTTTAATTGACATAGTTCCGAGGGACGAAGCGACTGGTGAAAGACAAAAGAGAGGAATTAGTGGACCAGCAACTGCAGTTCCAAACACTTTAACGCCACAGGCATCTCACCCAGGAGCGACATCACAAACATTCTCGGGACAATTGTCAAGCAGTGGCCAGGAAGAATACACTTCAAGGGAAGCCGTTTTCGCTGGTCCAGCCCAGCCGGGATCCGGCCCATCAGCCTACGGGGGATCTTCAGGTCAAGTGTTTGCAGAAATCGATGGGATTTATGGATATTCTCCTATGCCAACTCATCAAGTAAGCTATCCGACATAAATGCGTAAATGGACTCTGTACCTAATATCAGAAACGTAGCAGATATTTCAGCTCCCATCGCAACGTCAATTATCGCGGCACATTCCTAACCTAAATCACGACCCAGCTATTACCAGTGATGCTAGTACCGCTGGAAAAAATTATTCGTCTCAAGACGACAACGATGCAGATGGAGAGAGAGATTTTGAGGTATCTTAGACGAAAAAAAATCGCTAGAGTGAATATATCAGATTTACATAATAATTATCATAATATCACAGGATGTGATGGCTCAGCCTTAATCTATGAGCCACAGATACAGATAATAATTACTGGATTCTATCGCGTCTGAAATTAAAATCACCTTTGAATCTTCTACTCCTCCAAGGAGATGGAATGTCAAGACTAAATTTAATACAATGTTACACGAGCTCTTTACCCGGCTTGGGTAATTAAGGAGATCATGCACCTTACGTCTCATGACTAATAGCATCCATTTCTGATCACAAGAATAAGTCTCAAACATATAACTTTTTGGGGTTATGAATAACAAAACTTCATTCAGAAATAGACCTCACATACCTACCTCGGCTCTAAATTCATCTCGGAATTGATCCGATTGAATACACTAGCATGATAAACTCCCCTCTTAGAATAGAAAAATAATGGTCTTAGATCTCTTGTTTAAAATCATGTAATGTGTATGCAGCAATCTAGCTATGACAGATGACCAGTGCTATGTATACATGTAGGATGATTATTTTATCGTCAGAGACACTCATACCCAGTATTTCATTCGCATATACCACTGTGAGGTATGCTTGCTTACACAAACAGTCGACCCTCCTCCGTGAGTACCCACCAAAGGGAAATTCAAAACCTTTGATTATCCAAGCATACTAGCATCGCGAGAAATGTGCATGTGTTTTGCCGGATTTGAACCAGCGATCTACTGTCTTGAGTGGGATATGTGTCCAAGCTATCCAGACTCTACTTGGCAGACCGGCCAAGACGATGTACCACCGCACCATCCAACCATGGCAGTTTTTATAGTGTCGCCTGCACTCGGGAACGAGGATGTATTTGGTCATACTAGTAGACTTGGTGAGGCTTAGGCAGAATTCGATCTCTTTGGGAGTCAAAAATTAAAGCGATGGGGTATTTTGAACTATTGCCTCGGGCCAATTTGTTCGTTAATTCGAAATTTGACGGAGCTTGGCTCTGGGAGAATATTTCACTCCCGGGTTAGAAAAAGACGCCGCGGACAGGTGGTCAGGCTTGCCCTCCGGTCTTAGATCTTATGGCAGCCTAATGTAACTAAGATTCTACTGGCTCTTAAGTGCCTCTAGTTCCGAAGATGTTCTCATCACAAACATAGATACCACTTAGAAACAACCCAAACGGCTTACCCTGTGGTCACGATTTCAAGTTTACAGTGGATTTAAGTGGGGCGCACATTCGCTTCAGGGGGATGTTCGCTACTAATGCCTAAGTCGACAGGCTACATAATTGTTGTCCCAGATTATTTAAATTTGTATTTGATTTCAATTAACCCGATCAGGCACCCTATGGGTCCATGCAGGTGACTATCTTCATTGTTTACAAAGGAAGAAACCAATTTGGTGAAAACCCCCTGATCCTGTCTGTTTATATTACTATCAATTTGTTTAGTTTACCTTCAGGAAGTGCAGTGTACACTGTTCAGCCCGTGTGGATTCCGTCCTCTCACCTCCCAGATCTATTTATTTTTTCCGACATTGCTACTTCGACTTCCCCTGCAAGTCGAAACTGTTTTATCCACCATTTGCTTAGTATCCACAGTGTAATTCTAGCCACATCTTCTGGGCTGTTCATCGTGGCTTCAAATGACCTGTCTTTAGCTTGTCGGAGAAAGTCGCCTCTTCCATTTGCCCACAGCGGACACGCCAACACCATGTGCTTGACGTTTTACGACGGATATCCACACTGACAGCTTGGCTTTTCTACTCCGGGTACTTTTCTTCTGCTCAGGTAAGAATTGAGTCCGATATGCTCGCTTCTTAGCTGAGTGGCGACACTGCTTTGGGCCCTGGCCAGGTTACGGTGGATTTTGAAGGGTGGATCTTTGAAATTCATTTTGGTGCTGCCTGTTTGTTCACCAGTAAATATATTTGCCGCTTTCCAAAGTCCCGGTTTATTATTATTTGATATGATTTAATTTAGCCCGTTCAGGTACCCTATGGTCCCATGAAGGAAAATCTAGCTATAATATTTACACAGGAGGAAACCAAATTCGGTAGAAACCCCCCACAACTGTCTGTCTCGTGTCTATTTGTTTTCTGAGGTCTCCTACAGGAAGTACGATTACACTGTTTATACAGTGTGTAATCCGTCTTATCCTTTTCCACATCGTCTCATCTTTTCGTCCGATGCTATTTCTACTTCTCCTGCAAGCCGGAATTGTTCGAACCAGCCTTTTACCAGGATCCATTTTGTAATTCTCTCTATATCATCTGGGCTGTTCATCATTGCCGTATAGGACCTGTCTTTTCCCTTTCGAAGCACCTCTCCTCTTCCCATTGCACACTGAGGACACGCCAAGACCATATGTTGGACATTTTGAGACGGATATCCACGCTGACATTTTGGATTAATCACTCCGGAGACTTTCCTTCGATACAGATAAAAATTGAGACCAATGTGCTCACTTATTATCTAAACTGCAATACTACTTTGGGCCCTACTAAGGTTCCGGTGGATATCTAAGGGTGTATTTCTATATGTAATCTTTTTTCTGCCTGATTCCTCATCTGTAATAATATTTGCGGCTTTCCAATGTTCAGAGTCTGTCGAAGCTCGATGACCAGATAGTATCTCGTTTGCTGGACGTGTCCATGAGTTTTTCCACCCCTTGAACGCGGCCACCCTACCAGCTTCTTTTTGTCTCCCTTTCGCATTCTCCAGGCCGCAAATTCTGGTCCATTCTTCAATGTCTTGCTTCGATTCTTGGCGTACCTGTTCTCAGTTCCCCTTGTGGTCTGCTTGACTTTGCTGCACGCAGATAGTATCGATCTCCTAATAGGTAGTCCTTCTAATAGTCCGACGTGTTGGACCCTCCTTTGTTTCAGGTAGATATCTATCGGGAGAACCGAAGACTCGTGTTCCAGGACCCTACTACTGGTAGAGTTATATGACCCTGTAATAAGCTTCAAGCATTTTCGTTGGTTACTTCGCAATGCTTTGACTATTCTTTCTGGTATTTTACCCGTTAGCCTAGCTGCAGCTCACATAGAACACCCATAAGTCAGGGCTGTTCTCACAATTGTGCTGTACAAAAGCTTTGACTTCTTGAATGTTGCACCCCAAGTTGACTGCGTCAACCCAATTATTGACTGTACTTGGGTGTGTGACTTTTGTTGGATATGCTTTACATGGGAGCCCCATTGGAGCTTAGGGTCGAAGTATATACCAAGGACTCGAAGGGAAGACTGTGGAGACGTCAGATGACCTCGTATGCTGACAGTTGCTTCAAGGTTGTGTCGCTTCCTTGCACGTGTGAAGTGCATGATCTGGTACTTCTCTGGCGTAAACTTCACGCCGTTCTTTTCTGCCCATGCCTCGCATATCACGTGCTGTTCCTCTAATTTCTTGCAGTTTTCTTCGGTTGTACCTGACCATGTTAGTACGTTGTTATCGTCAACAAATCCAACTGCCGAGGTACAAGAAGTTTGAAGTATCGGCAAGAGCGTGCTGACAAAGAAGAGGAAAAGAATCGGTGAGAGTGATGAGCCTTGTGGTATTCCTATGCTGATGGGGATACGTGTCGCCGGATCAATTGGTGTTGGTATACAGCAGAGCAAGTCCAGAATAAATCAGTTAATTAATGAAATCTAGAGAAAGAAGATTTCCTACTTCTCGCTGTATACATAGGGAATTGTAATTGTCAGCGCCGATCATAACAATCTATGTTGCTAAGCAACCATATCCAGACCGCAACATTGGTAGCCCCCGTAGCTGGCTAGGCCCTATATTTCATCCCTACCGTACTGGCGCAGACAGTACAAACACAAGGGATTACTCCCGTAACAATACGTTTTCCGATAAAAGACCTGAGATTTACCGAAGTAGTTATTTCTTCGAGAAATAATTCTACGAATCGGCTGATCCACCTTGGAATACCTTTTACTTTCAGGTTATGTATTAGCCTTTCGTGGGAGACATTGTCAAAGGCTCCTGATATATCAAGGCTGAGAAGTGAAGCGACCTGGTTTTTATCTCTACCCCAGATGTTATAAATGTTGAAAGTCATGCGATAAATCTGTGATCGTATCACGTGTCTCGCTTAGTATTCCACACTTTACGTAATTGTGAAGTGTGTAGATAATTGTAAGAACAAGTAAATAAGCACCAATAGTTGTAGTTATAATACACACAATAAATCACATATATATATTTATATTATAAGGAATCTGATTTCGAGAGCAAGTATCCACACGCAGCTAAATATATAGCTGGTATGCAGTATACTCTTAACTCCACTGTCGCATAAATTACAACAATAAATCTGTTCAGTTAGAAGCTCTACTGCCGAGATCGTAGATCATTTGGGTCGAGCTCCCATCTACTCATCTGGGAGGAGGTTAAAGTCTTCGGCCGCCTTTGAGATCCGGTTTGCTACCAATTTTTCAAGAACTTACCCATTGTGTTGAGAAGTTCTATCGGTCGATATGACTTCGGTGAGTCGTATCTAGGCTTCTGTGGCTTTCGAAGGATAATCGTCTTCGATTCTTTGAATCCCTTTGGATGATATCCGATAGAAAGACAAGCATTGAATAGCTCAGCGAGATATTTACTCAGAGTTGCCCTACATTCCTTGAGTATTCGATTTGTAATCCCGTCTGGACCAGGAGCCTTATCGCTAGGCAGTTTTCCTAGGATTTCTTCTACTTCGGCACTGGTAATGGTGTCGGAGATATTTTCCAACTCTTTGGGGTAGAGGGTTGCTGCGATTTCTGATGTGTTTGCTACCACGAGTTTGGGGAAGAAATGTTCTGCCATGACTCGGGCTGTTTCCGGAGCTTCAGTATGAACTCTTCCGTCAGTATCTTCGATATCCACTATCTGAGGTAGCCTCTGTTTCTCCTCGGGATCTTTTCTCGCCCATTTGGCAAGTTTCTAGATCTTTTCCGGATCTCTAGAGGCCTCTGATACCGCCGCCCTCCAGCCGATGGTCTTGGATCTTTTTATATGCGCCATTTTCCTACAGGTCGACTTTTGATATTCTATCCAACTTTCTTCGGTGCCAACTTTTTTCCACTTTCTCCTTGCCTTTCGAGTTTATTTTACCGCCTCAGAGCATTGGGTGGTCCAGTACGGTTTAGCAAACCTCGATGGTTTAGCGTATGGTATTGTTTCACTGATTATTTTTTGGATAGTCTCAGTGATGCCGGTTACTCTATAGTCAATGGTTTGGCGAGAGTGTAGGATTTCGTGGTTAGCTCTCATTTCTATTAGTCCAGTCTCAAGTCTTTTGTTAAATTCTTCCCAGTTTGCTTTCTTACATTGTCGATAGGGCACCGGTTCTTCCTTGAGAAGTGACTAAATTGATAGCTGCGTGGTTATTGGAATGTGGTTTGAGGATGCTTCAAGCTCGCTGGCTGATTGACGACATATAACTGCTTCTTCGAGTTACTTGGATAAGAAGACAAGATCGAGCGTACTCTGACTCTCCTCTTTGCTCCAGGTTATTGTCCCCTAAGGAAGTACTTGCTTCATATCTTTATTTCCTAGAATTTCAATAAAGTCGTCTGCAAGTTTATGTTGGCTGAGTACCATTTGACCTCCCCATCTAGGATGATGTAGGTTGAAGTCTCCTACTAGGAAATGTTGATTGTTCTTCGAAAGAAATACTGGAGGGTATGTGAGAGTCCCTAAATTTTTGCTACTGTGTGAGAGAGGAGGGGGGTTAAATATATTGTTTATATATATTTTACCTCCATCAGTTTGGATGCTGATACTTGTGATATCCTCATCCGCTCCGTCTGGAGATTTTTCCATCTTCCACTTATTGACTGCGAGGAGTTTGCTTACATATGTGCATGTTCTACATTTGTTTCCTATTGGAAACACCAGGTAGTAAGCTGGATGTTTGACTGTCGTATTTTCTGTTGTGTGACGCCATGGTTCTTGTAATGCCACCACATGTTGCTTCGTTGGATCTAATGCTTGGAGAAAGTGATGTTGTGTTGGAAATATCGCGAAATGTAATGGGCGCAATGTAATGAGCGCAATGTAATGGGCGCAATATTCATGGAACGAAAGTAGAAGTTGACTAAAAGAGTGTCATGTTCGGATTAAAGCTAAAAGTGTGGAATATGTGCGCTACAAGTACAAGTGTAAGCGACACAGAGCCTAAGCCACACCTTAAACGAGTGTGGCGCCATGTAGGCATAGAAAGCCCCCAATAACCTCCTTGCGCCCACGCCATACAGCCGCTCATATGTCCAATAGGTAGCCTAAAGCGCTACCATATTACCTACTCCAACCTCTTAAATACACACAATATCGTGTCGGGAACCTAGACAAAATGGAGGGCCCATACGTCCACAACACTCTGTGTCTCCATTTCCAACATGTTGTACTATGTTTTTGCTTCTGTTGACGTTATACTGTATGGTATTTAGCGTATTTGTGCCCTTCATTGGCTCATTGTGCACTGCGGTGATTCGCTAATCTCTACTACAATTTCCCGTGTCACAGGCCGGGGATTCTCTTGAATTGTCGAAGACGACATACTCATGAGGCTTGAAGCGTTTGCTGCTGTTGCTGCTGTTGCGGTCAGGTTTAGTTGAGCGACGATCTTTCGTGGCCTTCCTGGACCTCGGCGTTCGATGACTTCCCTATCGGCTCCGACGACTTATGAGCCTACTCCTCCTGTTCTTCTTTTCCTTCGTCTACAAACTGCCAGCTTATATCTTGACTTTCTGGTTGTTTCCCATGTGCCATGAATCTCCCTGGGTCTTGTGTACTGATGAGAACCGCTTTAGCTTTGGCTGAGATTTTAACTAGACAGCTAGAGTCCCATGAGTGGTAGTGCCTTGCACAGTTGCCACATCTTATCTCTGGTTTACCGGAGCATTCTCTAGTATTGTGGGCACCGGCATACTGGCGACATTTGAAGGCGGCGATGCAGACTTTTGCAATTTGGCCGTGCCTCTGACAGTTTAAACACTGCATGGTGCGGAATACTGAACGAAAGATCTCTATTGCTTTCAGTTCATACTTCCACATTATCCCTTTCGCGATTGCTTTATCTGCTGTTTCTGCCTGTTCATACCAGACGATTAAAGAACCTGCAGCTTTCTCTGGCTGCGAGTATTTTTTCAGCCATGTAGCCCTCTGTACCCTTATGCTTTGTATGTATACTGCATTTGATTTTTCCAACTCCCTGGGATGTTCTGAATTTCCTAGGTCGAATGACCGAGGCATATCGTGTACTAATTTTTGATACGTGGGATGGGTTATTTGTGCTGTAGCCGCCAGCTTCGTCGTCCATTCTTTTCTCCTCTCCATCATTTCTTTGGCTTCTTGGCCCGCGTAGTACACCTTTACTTGTCCGTTTGACATCTGCCTGGCTCCGAAAATTTCGTTGCTGCCAATTTTCTTTACTAGCTCCTCGCTAAAGAGCTTTGCGACTTCTCCTCATTTTTATCCAGTATTTTTATTGTAGTATCTGCGACTTCAGGATTGCTTGCTATCTTTGCCCACGATTTTTCTCATCCTTGGGTCGGGCCTCGGGGCTGCGCGATTGATGCTTAACTAGGCTTTCTTTCCTGAAAAATCTTAGCTATCTCTGTACTTTCATTGCTAGCCTTTGGGGCTGGGTGAGTGTTCGCGTCGCGAAGTCCTTCAATAACGCGTGTTGCCGCATTAATAATCTTCTTGTATGCTCTGGTTGAGAGCTCATCTCCTTCAACTGCTTTCTTGAACCTCTGTAAGGCTGTATCAGTATCTTGGGCATTGTTCGACGCGTTGTTTCCGGCCTTCGGGGCCGTGTGGGACTTTCTGCTATGAGAAGCCTTGATAGGATAACTCTCCATCACTGTTAGGATATAACTGCAATTTTACGGGATTAAAATCGACGGGGGCAGGTTTTTCAAAATGATGATGTTTTTGTGTTGTCCGGATTATTATTATTAATTCATGTCGATTGACCTTAATTTATGTATACGCAAGGTTAGTACAATGCAAATCGAAAGGTACGAAAATGAGGTATGTATTAAAGTATTTTATGCTGTCTCTATCTATGAACATTGCGAGCGTGTAGTTCGTGGTATTGGCAGAGGTCATCAAGACAATGACTCAGCAATTGAGAGATACACTATGCTTAGTGCAGAGCAAATTGAACTACTTTCCGACAATTCATTTTATTATCTTTTCTGAGTCTACGACTATGTAGGACGTGCAGGTCCTCTGTCCTGTTGGCCAAGGATACCTTTGCCAGTAGTTTATCCTCTCCTATGCCTCCCATATAGCTCCCCTCAAACAGTACTACCCCTCACAAGTCCTCATTCGACCATACACTTAGATGAGCCCTTTGCCCTTCATCATCTCCTCTCTCAAGCCAACGAAATGATGGCCAGTTACGGGTGTATGGCAGTCGGGAAAAGTCGCAATAACCACTGGGGAGTGCCGTTGACTCATCGACAAAAGAAGCCCTCCTGGCTAATTAGCCGAGATATCGGTCTTGGGGCCTACAATCAATCCAATGTCGGAAACCCTTCGGAAGTATAGGTCCCAGCATAGTCTTCCGAGACCTGTTCCCTCTCTCGCTTCAAATCTCAGGCGCCTATTCTCCATCAAGTTGTTTGTTCCATTAGAGCAGCAGTCTCATATAAGCCAGGACTCAGTCTTTGTATTTCCGACTTGATTTTCTCCTTGCGGGTGAAAATAGCATCGTAAATATCTAGTGAGAGATGGCTGGAAATTAATGGGGCAAGCTCCTGTTTACAATTGGATAAACTTCTTTCTGGTCGTTGAGGCGAGATGATGCGTGGTTAGAGAGGCATTTTCGAGAAGTGGTCAAATGAAGATATGCTTGAGGTTGCTTTCGACTTCGATTCGGATGCGATTCTTCTTGGCTATCCCAGATATGTAGATTACACTGAGCGATTATACCGTCACTACTGGAAGGTTAAGAATTGGTCCATGCCGGCTGAATTTCCCTTGAATGGGTACTTACGGAGGAAGGTCGACTGTTTGTGTAAGCGAACATACCTCATAGTGGTATTTGCGAATGAAATCTAGAGTATGAGTGTCTAATTTCGAAAGAGTCACCCAAGATGTATACACAGCACCGGCCACGCGTCGTAGCTATTTAGGTACATACACATCAAATGATTTTAAAAGAATTCTGTGAATCTAGGATCCTTATACATTTTCTCACGCTAAAGAGGCAACGAATAGTTTGACTCAACGAGTGATAATGACCAGCAAACCCTTGAATTAAACTTGTGTCATTTCTGCATTGCTCACACATGATCATTGTCATGGGTGGGTTATTGACCTTCATGTCTCTTTTTTTGCAGCAGACTTGAAATGCGTCTGCAACTAATTAGCTGACACAAAATGGGAGAAATTACACAGAAAAAACGAATCAATACATAAAAGCATTTATGCCTCGGATTTCACTTGCAAGTATCATTCATATCACTTAGTACAGTTGCAGAATTTTGGACGAAGTGAATGTGTCATTTTTATTAATAGAACTAAGAAATCTAATTGCTTTTAGGGCACTCAGCATTTTTTTAATTTCATATCGGTGTGTCAGGGAGCACTCAGTGTTCACTCATTGTCTTATTAGTTTACTTTACACTTGCCTCATGCTCATTTTTCTTTTCCTCGAAATATCTATTTTGTTCAATGGCAAGCTTGCCTTCGTGTTCTCCCATGATTGTCAGAATCAAGGAATAATTATTATATAAAAATCTCTCTCTTTTCCTATCCTCCATTACTGACGCGAATCGAGTCAAGAATGCCGTCATTTCCCCTCTCAACCTTCCCAAGCTTGTTGAGACGGGCTCATCATCACCACCTTCTGCACTTAGCTCTAGAATACCCTGTAGAAATTGTCCAAATTGTTGGGTCAAAAAATGGGGAGCGGCGGATTGCTTTGCAGCTTCTGAGGGGGATGGTTTACGTGACGAGAGGGTTGCAGTGAGTGTCTTAATAGAGTCGCAATGTGCGTCCATTATAAGCTGAAATCTTGGCCAGAGAAGCATTGATGTGCCGTTTATATAGACGTCCATCGCAGGCATTTTACGTCGCTGCAGCTCAAATGCAAAATGCTGATTTAGACGCACGCAGATGAGAAGTCCCAAACAGTCATAAGTGTCAGATACGATAGACTTTGTTAAAGCCTGCCCAAGAGAAAAGGTTGGTTCAAATATATGGTTGAAGTATCGGGTTATAGTAGGAAAAGAAAGGGCAGGGTAAAAATAGGTTGTGAGGAAAGAGTATTCCGCACAAGCATTATCGATCAGAGCTAAATTAAAATTTCGAAATAAGTATTCAATGTAATGTGATGTTGAGTCCCCTTCAGCAAGAAATGAGGATAACGCAATCTGATTGGGATTCTTAAGGATTTCAATCCGACGGCCCATATTAAATGCATCGTGTGATGGACCAGTTAGCTTGGGTCTTGCAGGTGTAGCAGATTTGCGGGTTCCATCGTCTTGTCCGAGAACATCGTATTTTTCAATAACATGAAGTTTAACCCTTGCGAGAGCTTTCTCATATCTAGTAAACTGGTTTAAGAAGTACCATCTCATAGTATTCATGTATGCCCGACCAATTTCTTCGGCTAGTTGGGGATGGTGTTTAAACAAGAAAGTGTATATATCCTTGAACCGAATGAACTGCTGTTGTTGGATAACTTGCGGGTTAATATTTGGTGAACGTAGAACTTTGATCTGAGATACGATATGGTCTCTAATTCTTTCCAATGCTTTACTTATTAGATTTTCTAAAAGCGGTTTTAGGTCACAAATGCCCTTTATATTGCGTTTATCATTTGTTTTCAAATCAAGTGCCTTAGACCTTTTTTCAACTTCTGTCAACGCTCTTAGCCATGCCTCATCAATAGATCCGTCAACTATCTTTTTCACTACAGCCGGAGAAACACTCATTTGTTCAACGTAGGGACCGAGAACCTGTTCGGTAATTTTTCGGTTTTCTAGCCGAGCATTCAGAGTTATCGACCTGGCTTGAAGCGTTTCAATTTCAGCAGAGACTTGTGCTAGATCTTTTTGGAAGCTAATAAGGTCTGATTCTACCAAGCTCAGCACATCATCACAGGTGCAAATAGCACGGTGAAGCTCTTGTAGATCCGCAATGTCATCTTCGCCTATGAACGAGATGGTCAGTATTCTAACGCTTTGACTGATGTAAATACACACAGTCTACAGCTTTTTGATTTGTGTCCTGTAATTGCTCCGTTGAATCGAAAGATGTTGTGACTATTTCCTGAAGGCTCAACCCCTCAAAGTCAAATTTGTTCGCAAAATATTCATCTAGATTTTTATCAAATTTTGCGTCACATAAAAAGTTAGATGACCTATCTCCAGAGGTCGCAATGATTTCTTGTAGCACTTGAATTGGATTTGATATATCTGGAGTTGATGATGAATACTTCAGTCCGGAACCATTATATTTCCGAGAGGCTAGCAGCGAGCTTGCTGCATCATTCGTCTGTACAGTAAGAGATGATGATCGTGGAGGTCTTGAGGTAGAAGCGGACTCTACATTGTTGGGTTTGCGGGCATGAGCCGCGAAAGTTGCGGCAGGTGTAGGTGAAGGCGTGGAGTGCCTAGCGAGTCGATCGAGCCACATTGCTCGAGCAAGCCAATATACCGTTCAGATTGTTATCCACTTCACATGTGTGGGAGCGTTTTCATAGCCATGGGTTTCGCCTGATATCCGGCTGACTCCGGGAACACAGTGTCTTGGATGTTATTTCTATAATTATGTGCCGAGGCTGACCAAAAATGTCACCTACTTAAAGCTACGAGACTTTTAATTGGTCGGTTACCGCGTGTACTCGGCGCTACTTTTGCATTTTAACTCTTTAATATTTAAAATTCCATACCACAGCTGCCCATCTATAACAATACCTTTCCCCATTCTCACACCACTACTCGCTGCACTCTTACTTTCGCTTCATCGTTTCGTCGCACGCAATTTCAAACCTTATTAACTCTTATCCCATTACTATCCCGCCGTAACAATGAGTAACGATGCCGAAGTACGTCTACTGCCCCGCTCAATCAACCCCACCAATATACTGTGCGCAAGTAAAGAACAGCATTTACTTCTTCGCCAAATAAAACTAAAAAATGACAAACCTATGCTAATCGTTTCTTACAGCACGATACAACCTTCGAATCTGCAGATGCTGGCGCATCCCTCACTTATCCTATGCAATGTTCTGCTCTTCGTAAAAATGGGTTTGTCGTAATTAAAGGTCGCCCCTGCAAGATTGCAGAAATGTCTACTTCTAAGACTGGCAAGCATGGTCATGCCAAGGTTCATCTTGTCGCCATCGACATTTTTACTGGCAAGAAACTTGAAGAACTATGCCCTTCAACCCATAACATGGACGTTCCTAACGTTTCACGCCGTGAGTACCAGCTGGTAAGAAATCCTTTCTTAAGTATCTTCTTCAGTGTAGCTAAAACCTACTTAGCTTGACATTGATGACGGGTTCCTATCTTTGATGGGCGAGGACGGATCCACAAAAGATGATGTAAAAATCCCCGATGGAGACGTTGGTGAAAAGATTATTAAGCTATTTCAAACTGAGTCCAAGGACACCAGTGAGTCATAGAATGCAGAGAACCAAGAGATTACAAAACTAATACTCAACAGATGTCGTAGTTCTTACTGCCATGGAAGAGCAATGCGTTGTGGAAGCCAAAGAATCTCCTCGTTGATAGCCGTTTTTATATATCAAGATTTCAGCCTTGATTTACGGTAGCCTATAAGCCCCATTAGTCAGAATACAACTCAATGACAGAAAGGATCCAAAATGTCCTTCATCAATAAATAAATATTCGTGTGTAAGAAACTTTGGGAGATAAAAATTCGAAATGGCTAAGATGTTGTGACTTTTACAAGCACCACTCACATCTCTTCTAGTCGAGGAATAATGCAAAGATTAGCAGGCGTATTTAAAATGAAAGTATGAAATGTTAGAGGAATTTAAAGTTATGAATTCACATGAATCTCTATTTAAAATTCCATAAATTATAAAATCATAAAGAGTCAGTCTGTGATATTGGGCAAAGCCAATCTCGTTTCTTGTAATCTATCATACCTTCAATGACTCATTATTTCAAACAGTTCTGGCTGTTAACTTGCCTGAATTCTATAAACAGTATGACAAACTGAACATATAGTCAAGCAAACATTGCCGAGAGTTTAGGTCATACCAGATTCACTCCAGCCTACATAGTACTCAAATGTGTCACTCAGACCTGGCTGATCAATAAATGATAAGTAGAGGGGAACTATTATCCACAAGGCAGGTGACTGATGGAAAGGAAACATCAAATTGTATGTTTCTCGAGGAATTTCAATCAAATCCGCATGGAAAGCCTCATGGGAGATTGTAATCAAATTCAGGCTGGGCCCGTGATGCAGCGTAAAGCGATAAATAAAAGATTTTAATACAACATCCAAAAATTTTTGATTGACGGCAGAGACCCAACACATGCCTAAAGTTGTTGAATACTATTTTGGTTTATTGTACCACTTCAGTCTATGACTATCTAGCACATTGGGCTCCTCTCTGACCCAGGCCACGCCTTATACAGTGCTCCTATCCTCTTCTGTTACTTGGAAGATCATTGATATATTGCCTTTGATGAACAGCCATTCAGTCCAGTGTATACCTGTGGAATTCAGCCACCTTTTCCACAGAACCTTCTACCCAAAAAAATATAAAAAAATGGTAGCAATGGAAACTACATGCGCGAGAAAAAGTCTCAAAAAACCTGCAGCCTCAGCCAGGCGAGGCCTAGATACTGGGGCCACATGTGGTGCGCATATTCATCTATATCTCCCTTCTTTGTAACATTCGAGGCCGACTTGACCCAATCCGCCATCTCCGTATAGGGTGCTGGGTACGCTCCGGAAACTCATCGGATAGCTTTTCCTCCGTGATCAAGGTTTGGTGATGAGTAGGGCTCCGACCCTACCATCTGATCTGATCATGGTTAGCTTCATGACAATGGTGATAGGGGAATGTGTTGAGAGATGAAGACGATACAGACCGTGAAAGCGATTGGGAATCCTCTTCGACGTGAGAACTTTGTTACTCAATCTCGGCTGTGCAGATTCAACAGTGAGAGATGGAGTTTCGCAGGGGACACCACTGACAAACGTTGATAACAGTCCCCCAGGCTGATCGAGTATTTGCCCTGGAGGGCAAGACTGAACACCTGTACGCGGTGTCCTCTACGAACCTGGGAGGGAAATATTCTCCCAGAGCCAAGTTCAGTCAAATTCCGCAATTTGGCAATATCGAACAAGTTGGCCCACGAGGCAATGATTCAAATTACTCCACCATGTCAAATTTTCACTCCCAAAGAGATCGAATCCTACCTAAGCCTCATCAAGTCTACAAGTATGACCCAGTACATCCTCATTCCAATGATCACACCTCTTGTCGACTCTCTCTGGCCTCGGCTGGCCGCCAAATACACGCCCACGCCGATACTTACACCCGACGGAGGACACGAAGCGTGGCGTACAAATTTGGGAGACTTTTCTTTGAAATTGGCTTGAGGGGATTCAGGATAAGTTGACAAGATGATGCCGAGGATGGATATAACCTCAATGTGCATGGAATTTTGAATTTCGACAAAGAGTTTCTACAAATTGAGCTTTGTGCGTGCCAAGACTTCGGTTGCGAGGGTGCAGGCGAGACTATAAACACCGCCATGGTTGGATAGCGCGGTGGTACATCGTCTTGGCCGGTCTGCCAAGTAGACTCTGGATAGCTTGGACACATATCACACTTGAGACAGTAGATCGCTGGTTCGAATTTGGCAAGACACAACCACATTTCTCGCGGCGCTGGTATGCACGGATGACAAAGACTTGCTTGGATAAACAAAGATTTCGAAATTCCCTTTGGTGGGTACTAACGGAGGAGGGTCGACTGTTTGTGTAAGCAAGCATACCTCATAGTGGTATTTGCGAATAAAATCCAGAGTATGTGTGTCTCTAACGTCAAAAGAGGCATCCCACATGTATACATAGCGCCGGTCATGTGTCATAGCTAGATAGCTGAATATACATTAAATGATTTAAAAAAAAACGCTAGCACAGGGTGTACGCAATCTCCATTCGCCAAACACCAGTCTATCGGGACTACTAATTATCGAGCCCAGTAGCATCGACAAAGTGTATCCCAGCACAGAAATAATAAAAAACTCAACTAAACCTTTCGTCAATAACCGCCATTAACCATCACCTGACTTATCTCTGTACTCCATAATTTCAACAGTGGGGGAGTAAATTGAATAATTGCCTCGTGATCCAACTTCTTTGATATTGCGAAATTTGACTGAACTTCGCTCTGGGAGAATATGTCAGTCCTAGGTTCGTGTAGGATACTGCGTTCAGGTGTTCATCGGAACATATGTACAGTACCTCTAGCATATAAAATGTTAACCTTGAAACTGGGATGTTTAAGGGATTAGCCCTGTAGGTGTAGTTGGGCTAGCTCGTAATAGGTTAGTATGTCTCTTCTCATTACCCCGCTCGCCATGAAGTAAGGCCCAATCGTTTTGTTCTAACAACCGTTAAGAGAGACACATTTTGAAAGACATTTTTGACTGCACAACCCTTCATCATCAATACCATTATCAATTTATACACTATTCTAGCAAATAATGTTTCTCGAAAAGCCTGCTTCAGAAACTAAAGCTCGCAAGCATCTAATTCGCGATGAATGTATTGAAATAAGAACATTAAGAAGACTTGGCTTGACATTACAACATATATCCGACGAACTTGGCTTCACAAGAAGGCAAGTGCAACTTGCGTGTATTCGAGAGACTGAGAATCCTACACCTTGCAAGGGATGCTCATCTAAATTAAGCTCGGAACAAGTTGATGAGCTTGAGGTTTTTGTCCAGGAATCTCCTGAAAATCGCCAGTTATACTATTTGGAACTAGCAATGAGATCCTTAGCTACTGGGGATGCAATGAGCATAAACTTTCAAATGTCCTCAATAAAATAGGTTACAGCAGATGCCTTGCTTGGGAGAAGCTTCCGTTAACTTTGGTTAACATGCACAAAAGATGTATAGCAGTGATAAAGGAAATTGGAGGGTACACAAAGTGTTAGGATGGAGCAGACTAATACAAAACATGTAGCATGCTTTCATTTTAGTTGCGATCTATACTGAGGACTTCGATGTAGATTTTAGAAATACAGAGCGATTATTTTTGAAATAGATGTGTATTTTTAGATAATATTAATTGATTTTGTTTAATTTTAAAATTTAAATGACCATTGTACATTTCATGTCATGGTTATGTAACACATTCCACGTGACTAACTATTACGTAACACAAGTATATATACATAGTTAGAAAACAATGTAAACTTCATAATTGTCATATACATCTTGATATACACTCCAAGCCATCGTAACATTCTTACCCCATATATTGCGAAAAATGCCAGATCCCCCTCCCCCTCCTATTCCCCCGTTATCGGTAGGGGCATCAAAGACATTGACAGAGACCCTCATTGAAGCAACCTCCGCAGCCAACACTAGAACGCAGGAAGCAACTCTTTTATTTGGCGGCGTGGCTGCAGCATTAGATAACGTCACTCGTGGCACCGCTGCCCCAACAATCCCTCCTCATTTACAGAAATCTTTTAACGATTTCCTGACACGTATGCAAGCTGTTGCACAAGAATTCTTCGAAAGCCATGTGCGTGGTGTACCAATTCCTGCAACAACTGATCGTCTTCCTATATCTCAGCCAAAACCAGCTGCCCATGCGAGGCATTCCTATGCGCACGTTGCAGGGAAACCGAAAGGCAATGCTGCATTGAGTACCCCCCAGAAGCCAAAACCTGCTAAGCCCCAAAAACAGGCCAAATCACTGCCTTTAGACGACAGATTGTTCCTACGCCTTGATGAAAATGCAACTGAACGCCTAGTATCAGCGTACTCCCTTCTCATTCAACTCCGGAATTTCCTTGGAGAGAACTCCGCCCTGTTGAAAGAAGTGCAGCATATTCCATCCGGCCTGGCACTCCGTCCCTCTTCAGAAGCGGCCTTACTAAGGCTGGAAGATCTTTTCGTCCAGGGCATCGGGAGAGGGAGATTCCCAGGTGTTCTGGGCATCGAAAAAGCTCAAAACCTGGACAGTTATCTGATTACGTCTGTACCTCGCACATTCACCACTTTAGACGACAATAATAGACTCGTCAAGGAGCCAATCACCTCAGAGCTCGTCCTCAAGGAGCTTAAAGAAGAAAAAGGTTTTAATCCTACAATTGTAGTCGAAACCAAAGGGAGTATTGCATCCCCTTACGATCCTTCAGCTAGATTTATTGCTCGCTTCCCTATAGGCTCTCACCTCCCACGAAGATTTCATATTTTTGGGATGGGCATCAACTGCCGCAAACTGTCCAAGAAAATTAATGTCGCTCAATGTGGCAGATGTTTTCAATGGCATAACCAGCGTATATGTGCTCGCGCTCCACGCTGCCGTCTCTGTAGCTCAGTTGAGCATACAGAGGAAACCCACACTCCATGTGGACCGCACCAACATCCCTGCCCACCCCGATGCATCCACTGCTATGGTCCACATCCAGCCGATGCACCAGAGTGCCTACTCAGACCCCGGTCAAATGGTATAAAGCTGACAAAGGGGCAAGTAGCCCAAATCCGCAGTACATCTG